TCCAAGGCCGAGCTCCGAGCTCAGCGCCTTGAGGAGCAATCATTATGCCATGGAACCGTGTTCACCATCCATGGTGAACACGGTCCCAACGGTGTTAGTACACCGTTATCTTTTTTTTTTTCTTTTCCCTTAATTAATCGCGTGATTTTTCTTCTTCATTTTTACATTTTGCGGTTTCACATTAATTTGAGGTGAGCAATGATTTCAGACATTCATAAATTATGAATCCATGCTTGCACATTCACTTTGGAACCATGCCTACACATTCCCGTCCGAAACCATGGCTGTTCCTCTGTAGCGCAAGCTTCTTCAACATTCATAAATTATGAATTTTCTGTTATGAGATTATGAATTTACAGTAAATTCATAATCTCATAACAGAAAATTCATAATTTAATAAATGTTTTTCTTTTATGCGATTATGAATTTTCTGTTATGAGATTATGAATTTACAGTATATTCATAATCTCATAACAGAAAATTCATAATCTGACCAAACGCGCGTTGTTAACACCACATTAGCGATTTTTTTTTTTTTACGTAAAAACGGCGTCGTTTGGACCCGTGTTCACCATTCAGGTTTCTATGGCATAATTTACCCTTGAGGAAGTCTAAGGCCGAGCTCTTGGGCTCGGCCTGTGGCTTCATGGATGGTTGTAGCGCGTATAGTGGAGGCATTAGACCCGGTCAAGGAGGTACAAACTACCCACCATTTTTTCGCGGGAACAATTGGGGCGCGACCTAGTATAAAAACACTCCTCTTTGTCTTATTAGGGCATCATCACTCTATACATTATCCTTTATTTATTGAGTTATTTAAATTGGACTACTCAATCAATATAATCCATCAATATTACATTTTATCTTGACCCGACCACACAAAATTTTGAATTTTTGCCTATATTAAAACTTCTAAATTTTACCAAATGGACAACGTCTTCGTCACCACGAGAGTTTCCAAGTAGAAGAAAATTGTGAGCCGCAGAAGTGGCACTAAATTGTACTTTTGCGGACTAAATTGGGGAATCTTTTTGGAGGTATTTTGAAATATCTCAATCTTTAGATACATACTACTTTTTTTTAATCTATGTTATTATTTTGATATAACAATAAACTTAAATTATTTTATTTACAAAAACTTCACCCGTAGCTTTTAATTTCTCAAATATTGAATTACAACAAAGTATTTTATTTAATTTAACTTCTTAATGGGCATTTAGTTCATAGAAAAGGTAAGATTACAAAAGGTAATAAGATTACTTATTGAGAGATAGTGTGAGATAGGATTACTTTGTATGTTTAGTTGAGATTGTAGAGACGTGACAATAACATGTTTAGTTAATTAGTGTTATATTTTAGGTTATGTTATAATTAGTGTCATATTGTTTGAATTATAAATTTATAATATATATATATGAAATAGGAATTAATATTATCTATTGAATCATTAAGCTAAGTCCGTGCGTGCAATTCAAATATTTACTGAAAGAAGTGTGGGAAGTATGATAAGTCCAGTAGGGATTGCGCCCACTGAAAATGATGGAAGGGGCCTACTGAGAAAACACAAGAACGTGGGGTGAGGACTGTGACCAATTTCATTGCCAAATGCCAACTGATAAATGATAACAAAATCTAATGAAAATCATCAAACAACAAAATCATTTATCACCCTTCTTATCCAATCACATCCATCACTAACTAAAGTACCCTTTATCATTTAGGTGTGTCCTAAGTCATAAGAGCAAAATTATTGGTTGGAGTTTTTGTTAGGTTAAGAGTAAAAATAAAATAAACAAAACAAAAAATTAAAAAAATAATAAAAAAAAGGTAATCGTTAGTAGTCATGCTCACGGTTCGGTTCCAGTTCGAATCGGATTTTTTTTTTTGTTTTTGTTTTTGTTTTAAATTCCATGTTGTATTTTTAATTCAACATTTTTTTTTTGAAATTTTCCATTCTAAAATGATTTTAAAATGTTTATATGAAATATTTAAACTTGAAAGTTAAATTATAAAAAAAAATTGTTATAATTAAACTTTAAAATGTTATTTAAAGTTTAAACGTTAATAAAATAATAGTTAAACTTTAATCTAATAATAAATAATAATTGATTTTTCTTTGAATTTTATGTAGTTTGAAACCGGAACCGGCGGTTCCAATTCTAACAGTGCACGGTTCAGCTCAACAACCACCTAAAACTCCTAATGTAAACTCTGTTGAACTGTACTAATGCATGCAACGCACACCTTGTTCAATTTTTTTAGCAATAGATTCTCCCCTCCCCCTCTCTATCTCCTTCACCTAAGAAATTATTTTTTTAAAAAACAATACTGAAACTCTAAAACAAAACCAAATAAATAATAATAATAATAATAATAATAATAATAATAATAATAATAATAATAACAAACAACAAATTGGAGTTGTTTTAAATAATATTAATCTTGTAGTTTTAAGCTTTACGTTTGGATACAGACTGATGTCTGAACGTGACAATAGCACTCTTAGAAAATGTGTTAAAAGAAAGTTTGAAGTTTTGAAAATGGTGAAGAATTAATGTTGCTCTCATCTAACTATATATAGTTTATAATAATTAAATAATAATTAATTTTTTAAATTATAACATTGACATATAAGGGTCACGCGGAGGGTACCTTGTCAAAATTCAATCACTATTTACTAAGATACTTGACTTTAGCCATTCATGACTAAGGCACGGTGCAGGTATCTATCAAAAACTCAACTGTTGCCTCCTATTGTATAGTTGCATTGAAATTTTAAAGTTCTAACTCTTTTGAGATATTTTTTGGAGATTGTTAATTTAGAAAATCAATTTTGGTTGAAGGAAGCGCAGATTATTTAAAAAAAAAAAAAATGTGAGTCAAAAATTATGTTGATACACTACGATCCAAGATTTTAGACCATTTTTGAAATTTTGAATTGAAAATTCCTTTTGAAGTCATTTGAGACAGTATGTAGGACCAATCATCTATCATTTTTACCCCTTCACTAGCAAAATCTTTACTTTTGAAACCAATAAACCTTGAACCCTCCAAGTTTGAAATACCAAAAAATCATAATTTTTTTGTTATCGGCAAATCCGTCAAAGTTTGACGAATTTGATCAAATTAAAATGTTGAAACAAGTGTTTGGTAATCAACGGTTTGGAATTACATTTTTTGTTCTAAACTGTTGAAATCTTAAATGCTGCTTTTAGCAGCACTTGAATTGGTATTTTAAGAAGAACTTTTCTATTATAATTCACAAGTTACGTTAATCTATGATTATTAATTTTATCAAATTAAGTGTCTAGCCATTCAATTTTTACTCAATATAATCATCAACTTTTCAATTCTGACTCGATAAGGTACTCAAAAGACAAGATTATTGAATAAAAACTAAATATATAATTGATGACTTAATTGATAATTGATGATAATTTATAAATTATGAAATAATTGAAGGACGATTTTGGTTATTAACTCATAAATAAATTTAAATGTCATTATTTCTAGAGTCTAAAGGAGCCGTAATGAGGCTCCACTTCCTTGCCATCGAATGGGCAAATTATGTTGTGCATCCAACGACGTCGTTTTGATTAAAAACGCGCGTCCCACTTTAAAAAAAAAAAATCAATTTTGATTCCCGGCAACAGCATTATATTATGCATAATTTGAAATATATATAATGAATGAACTAAATATCCATAATGCATGAACTAAATATCTAGAATGCATGAACTAAATATCCAGAATGAATGAACTAAAAATTCAAAATGAATGAACTAAAAATTCAAAATGAATGAACTAAATATCCAGCATGAATGAAAAAAAATCAGTTTCGATTTCCGTCTAAATATCCAAAATGAATGAACTAAAAATCTAGAATGAATGAACTAAAAATCCATAATGAATGAACAACATAATGCTGTTCACGAGAATCGAAACTAATTATTTTTTTTAAATGGAATGCGTATTTTTAGTTAAAACGACATCGTTTTTGCAATCGTATACACCATGCATAGTGCACACGATTGCACAGCATAACGATCTCATCGGATGAGAATGATCAATTGAGACTTGAGAGGGAGGCATAAAAAGGAGCTCAAGAGTCAAGACCTTCTTCTTTCTTTTTTTTTTTTTTTTTTTTCATTTTTATTATTATTATTATTACTTTTATTTTTTATTTTTATATAATACTAATTATTATTATTATTATTATTATTATTTTTTAATACTTAGGCGATCCTAGTTTCACTAAACTATACACTTATAAGATCTCACCTTTAGAGCTATTGTAGAAGTAAATCTTGATTCGTGCAATCAACATATCGATCAGATTTTAATTTTTGTGCGCATATAAGGGATCTAATTTATCATTTTCATCAGTCCATCGGTTAAATCATAGTTTTTATGCATGTACGAATAATTTAATTCACACTTTCATCATCTTATACTGGTTTTCTATTCATATTTTTCAGTGGGAGGTTGTTTTTTTTTTTTTTTTTTTTTTTTGCCACAATAGTATAAATGTCTTTATTACATATTTTTTAAAAATATGTAAACTGTGATAAACAATTAACTATACCAAATATTTTTTACAAAATGTTAATATTATTTACTAATTAAATCACTAACATAGTCCTAACTACTAATTAACCCGCTTTCAAAAAAAAAAAAACTACTAATTAACCCAATAATTGCCAAACAATGCCATAACAAAGTAACTTCTCAAAAATCCGAAGTTTCAAACTATTCAATTGTAAGTTTAACTAATCGATGCAAAACAAAAATGTCAAATGTACTTTTATTATATACTCTTAATTTTTATTCTCACATACAAAATTGTAGGTACGTGTATTGAGATTCATATAAAAAAAAAAAATAAAAAATAGTAACTTATCAAATTCTGTCACACGGAGTAAGGTTGGCCACATCAACGGCAAGAAATAAAATTGTGGAATTAAGATTTGGAAGGACTAAACTTGAAAATCCTCCGCAAACCCTAAAACCCTCCACTGTCTACTGACATAGCCTCGCAGTGAGAACAAGTTATCGAATTACTTAAAATGGCAATAGCAGCTGCTGCCAGAGTGGTTTTCCGATCTCCGGCTGTCCGTAACGCTGCCTCCAGAGGAGCATCTGAAGCCAAAGCTGCTTGCTCCCCTTTCCGCATCGCTTCCAGAAGTCCTCTGGCTCCTCGCATTTTCAGGTACGTACCGTATGTATATTTATCCATACTTAGAATCATAGCGTGCCACGTGTGGCTAAGCACTTATTGTGTGTATGTGAACTGTGAAGGTGTCCGGTTGAGTTGATCGCGTGTGTGGAGTCAATGCAACCGTACCACACTGCCACAGCTTCGGCTTTAATGACTTCAATGCTTACGGTCTCTCCCCGCAGCTTCGGTTGGCTTGCCAAAGGTACCCTAACTAATGAATTGTGATTTTGGGTTTTAAATGCCATGTTTTTTGACCAATTCGATGGAATGTGATTGATTATTAGTTTGTGATATCTGCTTATGATTCAATTAAGGTTGCCAGGTTGGGAGTTGATCAGTTGATGTGCTTTTATACTGGGATTATCTTTTGTTTAAACCTTATGGTTATTTCTTAATTTTGCATATGCCAGTAAAATTGGATTCTCATAGTAGAAGTGTGCCCTTCTGATATGTGGATGAACTTTTGTGTATTTATTTATTTTTAATTTATGGCTTGACAAAGGCTTCATTTCATGGTTTGTCTAAGTAACTTCTGACTTGCTAGTGAGTTAATACATTAGCTGATTTTGGTCATTTAGACTTCTAGGAGTTTTAGTTTTCATCCCTAGTTTGTGCAGAGCTCTGCATTTTGCTTGATTAAATGTCCAAAACTCTGCAAAGAGTTAAAGGCCTCTTCAACTTTGGTCATATGCATATGCCTTACTGAGTGTTATAAGTTGTCTTAATATTTATTATCCCATTTGACAGACCTCTATTTGACTCCATACTACGTATAAGCCTTCTGACGCTTCCAGAAGGAACAAGTAAACTTTTGCCCCTTCGTACTTTGCAATATTATAGCCTAATCTAACTTGGAGTACTTTTTCTTTCATCAATCATCCATGATCCATAGCAGCTTCTGCCCCTTTCTCCTTTCACTTATACCTTGAACTTGAATATTTGTCTTCCTATCTTGCTTAGTTGTGCACCTTCCTTGTATCTGTTTATTTCCAAGTAGGTTCTCTAACCAGAGGGCTTTTCATTCTTGATTTAGGTGTCTAGCAAAACATATAGGATCCTCCTTTTCGTCTAATAATATGGTGAGTTCCTGCTGGATTTTTCTTAAATCTAATTTCAAGTACAGGAGTTATTTCCATACAGCATTTTTGGATTTGGATTGCATTCTACTTAGTACTGTTTTGCCTCTACCATCAATTGGGTTAGCCAGGGTATTTATAAGTTATAACGCAACCCAAGTAGGCTTCAGTCACTGGTAGCTGAGCAATTCTTGATTTTGCTTTTTATAGAATTTCCTTCTTGTATCATCAAACCATATCATGATATAAATCTCTTTATTTCAAATTTAGAGCAATGATGATTGTACAATCTTCGAATTCTAGCAATTCCCTTTCCATTACTTCATAAAGACTGAATATGAGCAATGCCATTGTCTACTTGAAGTACAGTACCGGGATGGAGATAGGCATTGCATTAAAGATTTTGACTTTCTTCATTCTTCTTGTTGTAGACGTTGAAAAGACTAAATGAAGGACAAGCAAAGTGGATTAAAATGAATTTCTTACCATATAGTAGAAAGTCTGCTTATTGATAAGACTCGATTAAGAATTTCAAATTTACTTGAAAAGATTATTTGCGCAAGGGTTAAAGTTGAGGAGAACTTTAAAACTTTTGCAGATTCCATTAGAAGCATTTTTAGAAGTTATTTCTATTCATTTGTCTCCTGTATTCCTGTCCTGCCTTAGGGCTTGTGGTATTTGTGTGGGGGTCTCATTTGACATATATGTTGAATATAAGGACTAGCATTTGTGGGGGTCTCATTTGACGTATTTGTGGGGGTCTCATTTGACATATATGTCGAATATAAGGACTAGCATTTGTGGGGGTCTCATTTGACGAATAAAAAGGACTAGCATTGTCTGTTATCTAATTATAGGTTCTCTCTACCCTCAGTAAGTCAGAGGTTTTAATATTTAGGAATAACTGACATGCAATATATATTTCTTAAAACTTAAACCAATGAGCTAGCACTTATATTTGTTTTATTTTTGTTACTTATCAGCAATCAATGATGATGCGTGATTGTATTATGGAGGTTGTGAATGAACTGCCGAAGGATTGTTCTGGGTATGCTTAGCTTGCAAAAACATAGGGAAATTTCATCATTTGTATTATCATATCTTTTCAGATCAATTTTGCTACTAATATCAAGTAGTTCAGTATCTTACTGATTTCTTGTATATATTAAACCAGCCTGCAGTGACGGTGTTTGATCAACCATGGTTCAGTTAAGTTTCCAGCCAGCTGTCATTGCAAATCCAGATAACTCCAACAAGATGAAGGGGGTGTTTGGTAAATAGTTGTTAGCTGATTGGGGATTAGTGGGTTTGACTAGTTGATAACATTAGCTGATTGTAGAAAGATGTTTGGTAAATTGGCTGTTAGCTATAGCTGATTACATGCAAAATGACTTTCTCAAAAACTTAATTAAAAAAGCTACTTTGATAAGCTTTTTGAATTTTAGCGTTTTGGAGCAATAAGTTGTTACAAAAAGCTAATTAATCAAACACTTATATTGGTTGTTTAACAATCAAATAGCTAATGCCTAATAGTGGTCAAATAAGTTAAAATTGATTGATAAGCTAACTATGTTATCAAACATGGCCGAAATCTTTCAGAGGTTCAGGTCCTTCCAGTGTGAAGTTTCTTCCTTGGAACTTCAATTTCATATACTGGGTAGAAGGGAAAAATTGATGTTTGGTCTATGTTGGAGATAAATTCTTATAGGCACGAGTGTCAAATAGATCCATCTACTACTGCAAAGTGCTCAATTCTCACCACGAAATAGGCCCATCTACCAGCTAAATTTGTTTAATTGGCATTTTTTACAGGTTGCTAGCAAGTTGACTATGAAATTATTAAAAATAAATAAATAAATAGAATAAAAAATTAAAAAAATTAATAATAATTAAAAAAGAATATCAGCCACCGGCTGTCCTCGCTGGACAGGCGGTGGCTGATATTCTTTTTAAATTTTTTTAAAATTTTTTATTCTATTTATTTATTTTTAATAATTAAATAGGCAACCTGTTAAAAATGCCAATTGAACAAATATAGTTGGTTGATGGGCCTATTTGACACATAATTTAGTTCGTAGTGAGAATTGAACATTTCGCAGTAATGAGTCTATTTGACACTTGTGCCATTCTTATATGGATGCTAGGATTTCACCATCTTGGGTTCTTTGAAAATATTAGGTCTATGTTGGAGATAAATTCTTATATGGATTTCACCATCTTAGGTTCTTTGAAAATATTATCAGTAACCTGGAAGTGATGCATACCAACTTATTTATGCAATTGGGATCACGCAAATGATTTTTATTTATTTTTTATTACTACAACAACATACATACAAGAAGGGAATTCACTCAAACACAATCAATGCCTTCCCATCTTCAGGTTCATCTTTATCTTCTGGTAGCTTTATCTCTTCTTCCATATTTGCTTCTGAACGTTGTCTACAGTATCTAATTACTACAAAGCAAATGAATGCTGCAGAAAAATCAGCAAAAAGTCTGGGTTACCACCTTTTCCAGATCTTGATGTCAGAAGAAATTTAACTGAGGCAAACATGAATGTACCTGCAAAAATGCGAGTTCTGGCAGTGGTAAGATTCCAGAAGGCTGTCAAAGCTGATGCTGCTATGGTCTTCTTGTGAGAGCAAGCTCCCCAGCTCTCCATCACCCTACATTTCAAGTATTCACCTGGTATTTATCGGAGACTGACATTAGATCGATAGGAATCCATCCGATAACCTTAACTAACAGGGCAAACATTTAGATACCTTTTCTACATATCTGACTGGAGTAAGATGAATATAGTTTTGGGGCAGTGAAGCTCATAAAGAACCCTGGGAAAGAAAATCGACAAGTGAGTTATGTCACAAGTTCATTAAACTATAAGCTTTTATGTCACATGGATGATCCTTACCAAATGCACATAGCCTCCATAGAGAAAGCAGATGCCCATACTCAGCTCCAACAAGCAGGAATGGTACTACCTAAACCATGATATTCATTGTTCAAATTCCATCCTATTCTATCAACAAAATCCAGATGCAAATAAGTATGGAATATTTACTTTAAGGGTCATGCCTGGCTCTCCTGAGAACAACTCTCTTGTTTTCAAGATTGCAAGATTTGCTGTTGGAAGTATCATTCTTCCCATTCTCAAAATGTCATCTTCTTTCAGCTGGATATCACACTTAACCTCAACATTACCTCTGGAAGTTCAAAAATTAGGTAAGCAATGATTGCAGAAGCATTCTGAAAGATAACAAGACAGATGGAATGGCAAAGGGTCTACCTTGGCCGGATCGAATTCGACAAGAATGATACAACCAAAAACAATAGCCCCAACTGAGATACTAAGGAGACAATACTGCAACAGTGCAACCATGATGTTAGAATGTTACCACATTGTACTAAATTGAAAGATATGAATATAAACTTCATGGTGGGCAATAATTGGGGCATACCTAATGCTAACTCCACTAGCAAAACAAGAAGATAAGAAGCAGAGAGACCCAAAACCAAACCAAAGGCTTGATCTTGCTACATCCCTCCACATCACCAGATCATTTACCATCTCCCCAATTCTATCCAGATTAACCCCTTCGCCTTCGCATTCACTTGATTCTGCATACCCAGAATCAAAATTTCATCACCCACAAAAAACAAAATGAAAATGAGAAAGATTGATATAAAATCGAGTGCGGTCTCCTGTGAAACGAGTCAGATCAAGTCATATACCATAAGACTCAATTCTCCTGACTCAACTCTGTCTTATGGATTAAGACACGTGAGACGGTCTCACTGGAGAATTTGCCTAAAATCAATGCATATTGAAGGAAAAGGGAACATACTTGGAGATGGAATTGGAACTAAGCCAAGTTTATCTTTCTTAGATCTACCACTGTTCCTCTTCTTTCTCTTAACCATTTCTTCTCCCACACCCAAATCTTTATCTTCTCTCATAATTTCCAGCTCCAATCGCCGTCTCGATCTCCTCCGATGATTTCTCGGAGAAGCACACCCCAATACAGCTCCTCCGCCTGCGTTCCCATTCCTGGATCTCCTGCGGCCCCCACTCAGCTCCACCCCATCGTCGCCCATTTCAAGCTTCTCCGCCAAACGGGTCCTCGACTTTCGAAGAAGAGAAGGCGATAGAAGCAGGAGATCGCGGACTGGGAGGCTATAAGGGTGCTTTGGAGATGAAGCTGAAGGTGGAGGTGAAGGGGCCATATCGAGGTGCGGTATCTCATGATCGTCAGAGCAGCGGAGTTTGGAAAGTCTTGAAGCCGATTTTACTCTGCTTCGGGGCTCGGAACGATGAGACAGAGGTGTGGTTTCCATGGTTTGCTTGTTTTCAGTGCTGGGATTTGCAGAAAGGTTGATGATGGAAGAAAGAACCGTTGGAGGGAGGGAACAGAGTTTGAATTGTTTTGGGTCGATAATTGCCCATTGGGCTTCTTATATAGTTATATATACATATTTGTATATTCTCTCTAACGGTAGAAAATGGGAGACAATTCCGTTTTGGACCTTTGGTGCCTTTTGACTTTTGTGGGCTTCTGCCACAATTTTGTATGCTATTTGCTTTAATCTAAATAATATAATTAGAAAATGATCAAATAATCTGTTACAATATAGTATCTGTACGACTGTACATACCCTGTTGAAGCACACAGAATCAATGCCCCATAGAATTTGAGCCTGTGACCTTCTGTTTAGAAGAGTCACAGATATGCCGCTTGACCAAAGTCTTTGGCTCTTCTAAATGTTCTTGAATCAGTAAAAAAGTACAATTAAGTTCTCATAGTCTCATATTACCTATTTAGCAGGTTACTACGGATTTAGAACTTTTGATATTTTTTGTCACATCAATAAATTTTAAATGTGTTTGGTTAACTAGAGAAGTTTTCAAGAATTTTATGTAAACTGCAAAAAAAATGTGTATAGCAGATCCCAACGAAAGTGGGAATAGAAGTTGTGAGTTCAAAAAAATAATGGCTAAATCTTGTGCTTTGCTAATGAAAAAACACTCACTACTTATTTCAAAGGCTCATCAACATAATATTTGGAAGCTTTAAGCTCAAAAACTTAAACTAAAGAAATTATGGTTTTCATGAGTGACAGGCAGTTCAGTCTCCACTATCACTATGCACCATCAGCTGTTGTACATGACTGCTTCTTGCCATGCCTTATCCAGAAAGCTTTTAACCTTCTAAGTCCATCTTCAAGGCTAGCCAGCTCAACGGCGAAAGTTATGCGAATCCAGTTCTTCATCCCCAAGGCAATCCCTACAAATCGCACCCTCATTTTTTAGCACTGTAGTAGCAGTAGTATAGCAATGCAGATATGTTTTTAATCGTTTCCCTCAAGAACTTTTAACCTGGCAAGACGAGGACCAATTCTTCTTTTGCCAGTTTGACACAGAAGTCCATATCATCATCTATGTCTTCCAGCAACGACACATTTAGTTTAACCTATGAGCAAATATAGAGTTAATCCAAGTACTTTGGACAGACGAAAAAGATTGGCTCATATTCCATGTTTTGTTAATTACCATCATTGACATAGCTCCTTCTGGCTTGTATGGACAAGAAAGACAAGCGATGTCTTCAAGTTTGGCATAACAAGTATCTGCAGCTTCTCTCAGCATATTGTTAATATTTAAGAAGAAATCTTTTGGCGTTTTCTCAAGAATTTGAGGAACCGCTCCCTGAAAGTTCAAAGAGTTACACGGTCAGTCTTTCTATCATCATCCCGACTTAAATTTAGCGATGAAACATGTATGATTAATTTAATCTCAGATGGAAATCTCATAAAAATGCACCTGAATTACAGTTGCAGGGTTGGCACCAATGTCGAGATATCCACGAAGGCATTCAACAATCTGAAATGAAAGCAAAATTCTCACACTCATGAAGATTTCAAGCTTATTTCCAGACATGCAAGGTTATAGCTACATAAAGGTATTAGCTTGTTTGATTAGAAACTGTGAGAAAACATGATTGAAAAGTTAGAAGTAGTGTGAGCTATATATACAAACCCCAGATTTCTTAAGGACTTCATTTGGATCAATAGTTGCTATCCATCCCAATCGCCATCCAGGAAGGATCCACCGTTTTGATATTGATCCCAAAGAAATGACAGGAGTGATTGATCCAAACTGTCCCATTGCCACAAACGGTTTGCATCCGAAAGACAGATGCCCATAAACTTCATCAGCAATCAGTAGAACTCCGAGTTTTTGTGCTGTCTCTGCAATCTCCAGTATGAAACAGGGAAAAGAGAAAACAGTCAGTACCCAACAAAGCAGAATCTAAATTCTAAACTGAACTGTAATGATTAACAGTGCTTCGACTTCTGAACACTCACCTTCTGTAAATGAGCATGACTATAAACACTTCCACAGGGATTCCCGGGGTTTATTACAACCATAGCAATGGTGTTACCATCTGCAAGAGCTTCTACGCCATTAAGATCAACCTCCCAACCTTTCTCTGGAAGCAGGTTATAATTACGGACCTCAACATTGTTAAATGCAGCCCGGACTTCATAAAACGGATACCCTGGTCTGGGCAGCAAAATGTTCACACCCGGGCGACCAAGCACTGCCAATATGACTTCAATTGCGTGATTTGTACCAACAGTGAGATAAACATCATCAGGTGATAGTTTGTGTGGAAGATCACAGGACAAATACTCTGCAACAGACCTAATGGAGAGAAGAAATTTATAAAAACTTCAGTACATGAAGTCATTTAAATAATTCTGAGGTCTTAACATCAAATCTCCCACAGACCCCCAAATGTCTGGAATCTTGCCTAAACATTATGTAGACAACTAAGTTGGTCAGACTATTTACTTGATAATCACAAAGTTATAAGTTAGACTTTTAGCGGTAACGACTATTGATCATCTTGATTTAAGCCAGTCAGTTATGTGTAACTTAGACTGGTTTTGAACCAACTGGTTGGTCAGACTATTTACTTGATAATCACAAGGCGGAAACGACTATTGGTCATCTTTGATTTGAGCCAGTTAGTTATGCGTAACTTAGACTGATTTCGAACCAACTGGTTTACCTTCAAGTGGTCCTATGCCTGCAAGGCGGGGTTTACCCAGTGACCACTATAACTTGATTTATTATATGTATACGCACAGAAACTGAGAATACAGAACCAGAAAGGAAGATAAAACAAACCCATCGATTCCAATGCAGAGAAATATGCAAAAAGAGGAAGCTTTTGTATCCATGCAATACAATTTATCGGAAGAGACTAGAGAGAACGTACAATAATAAATCAGAAAAGAAAAGAAAGTAGGAATTTTTAGTGACCTCCTTGCCGGAAAAATCCCAGTGGCCGGAGAATAGCCATTGAACTTGGCGGATCGCGCGGATGCAGAAATGGAGTCTTCGGCCACCGCAGAGGTCCGAAAGCAGGGGAACAAAGAAGGGTCTCCTCGGCCGAGGTGAATGAGGGGCCTTCCATTGTCAGCATCCTTTTCATTTACTTTCTCCAGTATCGTTTCAAGAACCGACCTGATGGAAACTGGAGATTTATTAGTGTTCTTGTTGTTGAAGCCCCATTTCGCCAATTTGTTCTCCATTTCTTTCGCTTCTCTTTGGCGAAATGCACACCGCAAAATATTCACGTGGAGGCCCAATTACAGGGGAAGATGGAAATCTGGTAATATAAAAAGGAAAACACAGAGACAGAACACACAAAGCCAAAAGATCAGAGTATTATAATGTGATCATAACTTGATAGCTATATGATTTATACATAATGTGTCAGACATAATAAATTCATAAAATGTGTGAGATATGTCCCCTATAAAATAATTTTGTTTGTGTGTTTGGGTATTTATGAGTGTATTGGAAATATATGAGTTAAAAGAGGTATGTATTTGACCTTATTGTTAGTATTATTCTTCCAAAAAGGCTTAACCCCAATTCTAAGGGCTTCCCACACCCGACCCGACAGAGCATTTGGGAGGATTATTGTTAGTATTATTGCACAGTTATTTTGGAAGTTCTATATGGGGTTTATATATTTATACACGTGTGTGTTGGAGGTATTTATAATGGCAAAGGGAGTATTAAAAATAGATAAGATATTGAGTGTGATGTGAAATAAGCACGACTATCTAGTGATTATCGTGACATTGTCGTTATCATATTAATCATCATGCATTGGATGTGATGTGGAATAAGCACGACTATTTAGTGATTGTCGTGACATTGTTGTTATCCTATTAATCATGTATATTACTATCTAGTGATTATCGTGATATTGAGTGTGACGTGGACCTTGAGAATAATTGTGGACCTCAAGAAGAGAATAATTATGAGTAAATAGTGATTATTGTGGACCTCGAGAATACTTATGACAATGATTACAAATTGAAATTAAATAGTGATTATCGTGATATGTGAGGTTCAAACTTTAGTATCTTCTCCCAAATATTATGCTTACTAAATTAGTAAATTACCAAGACTATGTGGTCTAATGGTATCCGGGTTGGACTTCTATTTGGAAGATTATGAGTTCAAGTCTCAGTGGAGGCGTTATTGGTTCTTTGTGTTTCAGTAGGTTGAGAAAGTATATGAACACATACTACAATGTAATAGGGCCAGTAACATTCAAAAAAAAAAAAAAAAAAAAGTCCGTGCAAGCAACTTACACTTTTACTATAGTCTATAAATGGTCATGGTCATAGACCGAGAAAAGACATAGGGATTATTCTTGAACTTTATCCAAAAATATATCCACACTCTCCTAAAAATTACCTAAAATATTCATACTAGAGCATTCTAGCTACAAAATGTATATTTACAATTTTTAATTTTTTTTTTGAAATTTAGAGAATTTGCCTTGATATTGGTATTAAAAAAAAAACTTGTGATTTTCATGTAAAAGTTATTGTGTCCATTTATTTTCTACCAATTTATTTATATTTTAATATTGTTGAGTTCATGTTTGACTGATCTTACCAAAAAACAACACTTACAAATACACAATGTATGTGGATGCCATTACATTGGGCACTAGAATAAAATCTTCTTATTTTGAATGTTTATGGTAAGAGATCAAAATGTTGTTTAAGGGTAATATTTTGATCCATGTATTATTATAAATAACATGATGAGACTAATGTATTTAAAAATTTCCAAATCAAGTAATTAAATCGACAAATAAGTTAATACGTTTAGATTTTTGTTAAACTGAAAATGAAACTAAGCCAATATTTGAAAAATATACATATACATTCAATTACTTGCCATCGGCAATTTATATTGTGCACCACGACGCACATAACAATGTGCGTTCAGGTACAAAACGCGCGCGTTTCAATTGCTAACGTTACTCTGTCCGTCCAAACAGTCAAAACCCCATTATGTGTATTCAGTTAAAAATTTCTGTGTATTGTGTTATGAGTTTCTGTATTTGTGTATTGTGTTATGAGTTTCTGTATTTCTGTGTATTTAGTTAAGAGTTGATGTGTATTCAGTTAAGAGTTTCTGTGTATTCAGTTACGAGTTTCTGTGTATTCAGTTAAGACTTTCTGTGTATTATGTATCATGTTAGATTATGTGTATTCAGTTATGAGTTTCTTGTATTCTGTTATAAGTTTGTGTCGAAACACTAAAATTTTTTTGGACAATGCACCAAAATGACGTCGTTTTGGGAGACGCAGGGCGCACATTGCTATGTGCGCCCTGGTGCATGGTATAACGATTGCTTGCCATCCTGAGTGATACTGGACCACTAACAAGTTGAAAAATTGTATAATCGACAATGTAGTACATATGTAATCATTCGCAAAATCATGTGTGATAGACTCAATAAAAAAAGTGTTAACAAAAATTAAAATTTTTAACCTTTAAATATAAGAGTCATATTCTACCAACTTGATCGCTGGAGCCAACCGGTTTCCTTTTTAACTCTATTATGGAGTACAATTTTTTTTTTTAAATGCTAAATTGATTTTACTTAAAACCCCAACACTAGGCATCACACCATTGTCATATAGTTTACGAGAGAAAATCATGGCTATGATTTTCATATATTTTATTTTTTATTTTTTAGACAAAAATAATATTTTAAATAAAGTGATTAATTCAATTTCAATTAATTTTGTTCAAAATTAATTAACATTGACCATCAATCCGAAATGGAAACTGAACCACTCCTTTTTCTTCTTTCAAAAGGTTAAATTCTCAACTCTTAGACCCTCACATTCCGATCTGACAAAACATTTAGGATGATATAAATTACGATAACTCAATGACTTAGTAAATAAGATCATCTGTCACTTCAAATATAATCCTTAGGGGGCGTTTGGTTCAGGTCATATTAGATTACCTAGGTAATCTGAGTTTGGTAATGTTATATTACCTTGTTTGGTTCAAGTTATAAGATTACCTGGTAATGTTATATTACCTGAAAGCTGATGTGGCGGTAATGTTTCAAGGTAATGTGATTACCCCCAATTTTTTAGGTAATCTTAGATTACCTTGAATTATTCCAACTTTGCCCTTGTTAACTAATCCTTATATAATAATAATAATAATAATAATAACAATAATAATAATAATGAAATTAATATATGTTTATATAATCAAATATATATGTGTATATTTATATATTTAATTTTTTTAATATTTAAGCATCGATATACATTCATACATATAAATAAATACACATTATATATATATATATATATATATATATATATATATATATATATATATATATATATATATATATATTATTGAGGACATTATTGTAAATTGATCCATATAACCTATAACCTTGAACCAAACAAGGTAATATTATATTACACTATCCAAACCAAACACACAAGGTAATCTTACATTCCCAACATTTCACATTACCTTTCTGGAGGTAATCCTATTACCTGGGGTAATCCAAGATTCCGTGAACCAAACGCCTTACAGTATTACAGTCAAAGTTTGAATATTAATTTCTTTTCCAAATACTGCTAATTAAACAATTGAGTTGTATGCAACACCAAAACCACAACTTTCGAGAGTCAAGACTCAAGACTATGGTGCAGTGGAGGAGGGTGGGACCTGTACACAATAGACTTAACCAAAGAAGATAGAATTTAGATTTCGCCCCCTTATCTTTTTATCTCTTTCTTCTTCTTCTTCTTCAAACCAAATCCCCTTTCTTGTCAAAGGTTCCTGAATTTTTTTTAATGTCTTGAGATGCTAAGAAATTTCATGCCCAGACAAAACTCCCTTGCAGTTTGCTAAAGAATTTCATGCCACAAAAAAATGTCTTGCATTCACATCTCAGCTCCATCTTTCTCGGCAATCTCTGTTTCCGCTAAGGCCACCCTCAATTCTTCTCCTTCTCGCTCTAACTTCAAACCAAGAATCTATTGCTCCGTTGGAGGTAATGTGTTTCCTCACAATTTGTAATTCTCTCGGCTTATAATTTGTATGCAGTTTGACTTTGTCTTGTAATTTGATTTTTCATGTGATTATTACTTCCTACAGTTGTTCCTGTAAATGATTATGTGAGTGCAGAAATTAGAGAAATTGTGTTTCGGGTTGTTGTTTGAATACTGGGTTTCACTGAATTGGGGCTGAAAAAAAAAACTAAACTTTTATGAATCTGTTTCCGTAGTTTGCTAAAGATTCTAACTTTATTAATCAATGACTTGATAAGAGATTAATTTTTCTTAGATCTGATGCTGTGAAATCACTTAAAAAAAGGAAATCTTGCTAGTTCTATGGTTGTTGGATTTTCAAACTAAAGTTTAGAAATGAGCTAGGATATAGGAACTGAATACTGTCCTACCCTAACCCTTTGTTCAACTGATTAGTGCATTCTTGTTGATCTTCTTGCTTATTCATGAGTGAGTCCAAATCAAATTAGAAGCTTTTTTCGCTAAATTGCAGGGACTGTTGCGGAACCAAAAGCTATTAATGCTACTGAACCTCTTTTGCTCGATGCTGTTCGTGGGAAAGAAGTGGAAAGGCCTCCCGTTTGGCTTATGAGACAAGCAGGGAGGTACATGAAGGCAGGTTTATTCATCATCTTTATTACTTATTATTTCGAGTGCTTATATATGGAACTCTGAAACATATGTTCATCATCTGAAACCTGGAATTGTGAAGGAAATGGTGCATAAAGGAAAGGAAAATACAGTCTTCTAGCTGGATATTTGTAAATATTGTTTTGCAATCTGCTGTATATATGTGATTTTGTAAATTCAGTTTTTTTTCCCCTTTGTGTATCTCATTTTTCTGCATTTCATTGACAGAGTTATCAAATTATTTGTGAGAAGTATCCTTCTTTTCGTGAGAGATCAGAAAATGTGGACCTTGTGGTGGAAATTTCTCTACAGCCATGGAAAGTATTTCGTCCAGACGGGGTAAGATGTTGCTAGTTCCTGATTTCACCAGGCTATTGACAGAACCGACATCTTTTAGCTAGCTTGCAATTCTGTTGCTGTTATTTGATTAGCTCTTAACGCCTTCTCTGCCTTGTACAATTGTGGCAGGTTATTTTATTTTCAGACATTCTTACCCCTCTCTCCGGAATGAACATACCCTTTGACATCATTAAGGGGAAAGGTCCCGTCATATTTGATCCTATGCAAACTGCTGCAGATGTTGAGAAAGTTAGAGAATTCAACCCTGAAGAGTCAGTTCCATATGTTGGGGAAGCATTAAATATCTTGCGGAAAGAGGTCAGGCAGCACATTATATTGATTTGTATCTTTACCTACTACATACTAGGCTTATAGTGAAAAGAAAAATGAAAAATAGCGAGAAGATTTGTTAAAAAAAAAAAACAAAAACAAAATCATAAATAAATAGAGTTGCATGATTATATTGATTTGTATCTTTACGCTTTTAGGTGCATGGTGAGGCTGCAGTTCTAGGATTTGTCGGGGCACCTTTTACCCTGGCATCTTATGTTGTTGAAGGTGGTTCCTCAAAGAACTTCACAAAAATAAAAAAGCTAGCTTTCTCACAGCCCAAGGTAATCGAAGTGACCTCTCTACCATGAAAGAATGATTTCTAACCTGTCTACCAATTGATGTTACATTTATCATTGTTCTTACAGGTCCTTCACGCACTTCTTCAAAAATTTGCAACCTCTATGGCTAAATATATACGATACCAAGCTGACAACGGAGCTCAGGTGGTTCAGATATTTGATTCGTGGGCCACTGAACTTAGCCCCGTGGATTTTGAAGAGTTCAGTCTCCCTTACTTGAAGCAGATTGTAGATTCGGTTAAACAAACTCATCCAGATTTACCGCTGATCCTATATGCCAGCGGATCAGGGGGTTTGCTCGAGAGACTACCGGCGACAGGAGTTGATGTCGTGAGCTTGGATTGGACCGTGGATATGGCTGATGGTAGGAGAAGATTGGGTCCTGATGTGGCGGTGCAGGGCAACGTGGATCCTGGCGTTCTTTTTGGCTCCAAGGAATTCATCACCAATCGCATAAACGACACGGTTAGAAAAGCTGGTCGAGGAAAACATATTTTGAACCTTGGACATGGCATCAAGGTAGGTACACCCGAGGAAAATGTTGCCCACTTTTTTGAGGTTGCCAAAGGACTTAGGTATTAGAATGCAATCAGATGTTAAACTTATGTGATAGATTGTTGAGAAGTAGGTGCAACTGTGCAAGAGAGTATTGTCACTGCCTTCAAAGGTTAGTACTCAGTAGATTAGCTTTTGAAGTTTTTGTTAAACTATGAGCTTAATCCTCAGCATTGAACTATGGCCATGATTTTCATATTATATTTTAAAATGTATTTATATATTTGGAGAAGAAAGGGTGTAAAATGTTATATATTACACAGATTTCTGCAAATCTAAAGATGAATAGAAGTGTTTCAAGCCAATACATTAGATGTCTTTCTTCAACAGTATATTGTTGAACAAGCAAGCATCTTATTATCCTTCCAGCGCGATCGAGCGTGAGATCCAACAAGAAGTTGGAGACCATCATTTGGTTAAATCCCGAGTTTGAAGAGCAGCCTCATAATTCCTTGGCATGCCTTTGATAAAAAGCTTTGAGCCTTGCAAGCCCATCCTCAAGAGATGGTGGCTCAATCGCAAACGTTATTCGGAGCCAATTCTTGAGTCCCACCCCAAAACCTGCAGAGTTATTGTTCCCAGATGTACAAAGGATAAGTAATTTGAAAACATGTTTATGGGTCCCAGGTGAGTTCAAATTATAATCTTTATCAAGTGCTTTCTTTTTTCTTTTTCCCTTGGAGTGACGAGAGAAATCAGTCACTATTCGAGGATGTGCATTGGGTAAACCCCACCTTTTGATCCTAGCCAGCAAAAGACTACAAGGAAGTAAACCAGCATAGATTGCCCATAACTGACCTGAAGGTCAATAGGCCGCTCTTATTAGCAGTCAAACTTATAACCTTGTGGTTATCAAGTGCTTTCTTGAATGCATGCATGGGGTGTCTTTGATGTAAATCTGTTTTGTACAAAGTTATCATTATAGTGAGTAAGTTTTACCATCTGATTGGGATTGGTTTGTTTACCTGGCATAATTATCACAGATTCCTCCTTAGCCAGCTTGAGACAGAAGTCAAAATCATCTACAATGTCTTCCAAGAGATTCAGGTTAAGTTTAACCTGAGAAATGGAAGCTCCTTTTAGAACATTGACCATATATTAGTTATCAACAAAATGATGAGACACAATACCAATCTTACCATTACAAACATAGATCCTTCAGGTTTGCTCGGGCACGTGAGGCACGGGATCTCCTTGATTCTGCCATAGCAGATGTCTGCAGCTTCTCTAAGTATATTAATGATTTTAGGGAAAAAATCTGGTTTGGTCTTTTGAAGAATATCAGGAATTGCTCCCTGTAAAATGTAAATACAAGAAATAAAAATAAAATGACAGTGGAAAGGGATAGTGTCAGTTCATATGGATAAAATGTGAGTAAATGAAGCAGTCATATCTAATAAACAATAAGCTCCAGATGTTTAAAAGGATTCTCCAAACTCTTGGAATTTGGGTAGACAATCTGGATTCCACTATAATGTTTCTTTAAGTTGTTTTAAGGATTGGAATTAACATAATATAAGAGATTTTTGTGCCAAATAATGACATTTCACATTTGTGCCAATTTCTACCTGCAACAGAAGCTCTAAATGAGTGAAGTACTCCATAGCAAACAAAGAATAAGATCAAGCAAATGGTAAAATAATGGAAAAAATCTGACTAAAGGAAACACTTTGACTTACGAACCTGAATAAAAGTTGCAGGGTCAGACGAAATATTCTGAAGCCGGGTGATGCAATCTGTAACCTGCAGATACAAAGACATCTCAACTTTTTCACTTAACATTAGGTGGTCAATTGGTCGTTGAATTATCATGTTCTTGAAGTAGTTTAGGCATAGAAGAAGCATAATTCTCTATACTTAGACTATACTCCAAACTTAAAAGTTGACATTAATAACCATGATGTCAAAGTAGGCCTTTTAGGATACTATCAAGAACAAAAATATGTTATGGAGGGAAGGAAAATAAAGAATTAAGAATACCCCTTGTTCCTTGAGGATCCCATTGGTATCATTTGTAACAAGCCACCCAAGTCGCCAACCTGGAACAATCCACCTCTTTGATATTGATCCAACAGTAATAACTGGAGATATTGATCCAAAAACTCCCATGGGCACAAAGGGGTTATCTCCAAAAGTAAGATGGTCATAAACTTCATCAGCGATTACAAGAATCCCAAGCTTTCTTGCAGTCTCTGCAATCTAAGAGGAATAAAACACTACTAATGAGTAAAACACCAACTCCATAAGTTTCAAAATCATAGGCATTTTAGATTACATTCAAACAAATGCAGGCACCTTCTTAAGATGCTGGTACTTGAAGACATTTCCACATGGATTACCCGGGTTGATAATCACCATTGCAGCGGTATTTTCATCTGCCAGAGCTTCAACAGCATTAAGGTCCACTTCCCAATCACTTTCTGGAAGAAGATCAAAGTGGCGGATTTCAATATTGCTATGAGCTGCCCTAGCTTCATAGTATGGAAAGCCTGGCCTTGGAAGTAAAATATTAGCATTTGGGCGAGCAAGAACAGCTAAAGTGATTTCAATCGCTTGCGTGCATCCAATTGTCAGGTTAACATCATCAGGTGATAGCTTATATGGGAGATCCTGAGAAAGGTACTCAGCTATTGCCCTGCTCATTATTCAAAGACAAATGTATAATTATGAATTTGAAAACTTGAACCACTTTTGCCAAGCAATAAGCACTTCTTTGTAAAGTAAAGGAAAAGAAAAATTAAAAAGATAGAATTTTTACTGTCTAGCGGGAAGAAGGCCGACGGTAGGGGCATAACCGTTGAACTTAGCGGAATGAACGGCGTCGGAGATGGCGGTTTGGGCTTCGGAGGGGGTACGAAAGCAGGGAAAAGCAGAAGGGTCGCCATGGCCGAGAGGGATAACTGGTCGAGTGTCATCCGGGTTGAGATTTTGGATTACAGACCCGAGAATTCCTCGGATGCTGAATGCGGAGGCTCTCAGAATTTCCTTGTTCCGTCCAAATCCCCACCTCTTCGACCCGCCGCCGTTTTCCATCGCCGACTCTCTCTCTCTCTCTCCCCAACTAAAGAATAAAGAATGAAAGACGAAACGTGACTAATATAATGGATGATAATGCATGGAAGAGCTGTGCACTTTGGTTCAACGCTTTCTGTCTGATTCAATGGGGCTGGGAGTGGGGACGCCTGTTTTGTTGTTACGTTCTGTAGATTCTATGCCCGGGAGGGAGATCCTTCTCGTCTACATATTTCACTATAAAAAGAAAATGTTACTAAATAGTTGAAGCATAGAAAAATGTTTCCTTTTTTTTCTTCTTTTATTTTTTTTGCAATTTTATATAGGTGGAAAATGACATTTTCCCACCTAATTATAGAATTATAGCATTTTTTCTCTTAAGCTATTCATATTTCATACATCTATATTTGTCCCTTTAATTATTTTAAAACAGTGGCGACTTTTTCCATTAAATATACATTTTTACCTTTAAAATAATTATATCATTTATTTTTCTTTTCTAACAAATTATTACTTATATGTAGGGATGACTACGGTTCGATTTGAACTAAACTAGATGTTATTTTAGGACTTTTGAGTCCAAGGAGATCCAACACAACCGTGGTTGGTAGATTCACCGGTAAATGAAATAAAGAACTAAATAGAAAATAATAGCCAAAAGATCTCACTATATTTGCTTGTAATTTGTACATCTTTGTGTTTGTTGTCGTGTGTCTATTTTGTACATAGAAATTTTGTGTAGGGAGATGAAGCAACATGGAGTCTTCTTGTGGGTGAAGGAATAATGCTATCTTCTAGTAAGAGGAAGAGTGATGTGGTCTTCTTGTTTAGATGAGTGAAGAGTGGTTGTGGAAGAGTGATATGTCTTCTTATGGGAGAAAGAATAGTGTCCTCTTCCTTCTTGTTCTTTGAACCATTTTATAGCTAGCATAGGCTCAAGATTATAGCCGTTAGGTAGAATTTTAATAGGATTTTATGAGTAATAATGGTGGCTTAATTGGGGGTTAGGGATGTTTAGTGGGTGTTTATGCTAGATAATAAGGGGAATTAATGGGTGATTAATAGGGTAATAATGAGGTAATTTGACCGGGTTTGGGTGATCTAATCGGGGTTAGGCGGTTTAATTGGGCTCAAATATCAAATATCCATCACTAGACACTATAACAACCGAACTGAAACAGTTTGGACAATTGTTGTTACGATTCAGAACTGAAAAAAATAAAATAATTGTTAAATTTAAACTATTTTAAAATAGACAATAGAATTTACAAAAATAAATAAATAAATATATTTTGAACCAGTGGTTCAAATCGAAACTGAAATCAGCATAAATGCGAATTGGAAACGAACTGACTTATTATTTACAAACGGTGTTTACAAATCTGTTTGGTTCCGATTCGCATTTATTATGATTCTAGTTTCGGTTTGTATCGTCAGTTCAAAGTTTATTTATTTATTTATTTTTAAATTCTATTTTTTATTTTTGAAATAGTCTAAATTCAACAGCTATTTTATTTTATTTTACTTTTTTCGATTATGAATCGTAACAAGAACCATCCGTATTATTTCAATGCTATAGTGTTCGATTCGGTTCAAATTGAACTATAGTCATCTCTACATATAAACAATAATTTGTTGAAAAAAAATAAATGAAATAATTATTTTAAAGGTAAAAATGTCCATTTAACATTAAATGAAAAAAAAAAAAAAAAACAACTACCTTTTTAAAAATAATTGAGAGCACAAATGTAAATACACAAATAACTCAGAGATAAAAAGTGATAAAAAAAAAAGGAAAAAGTGTCACTTTTCCTTTTATATATTCTAAAATTTAACCACCTTTTTTTTTTTTTTTTGACATTTTAAACATGATTCCTGATGTTTAGTACTACATGTTTACATGTGATTTTAGAGCATCCACTATAGAGAAGATTTGGGAGTTAATGTCAGAATTAATTATCTCAAGTGAAGATCAAAGCTGATGTGGGAATGGATTAATTAAAAAAGAATCCTCCTGTAAGGGGTTGAGATATTTCTCTTCCCAAGGTTTTTAACATTTAATTTGTTTATTTTTATTAAATGGTGGGTCCATAAAAATTGAGAAATAACTCAAAAGTGATGTGGAGAAGAGTTTTTTTGTGATTGAGTGAGATAGTGGAAGATGAGGTGGATGTTGGGACCCACAAATAATTGAGAAATAACTCCAACTGGAGCATCCTTATCAGTTTGGGATATTAGGGGGAGAATGTAAGAGTGAGTAGGAAAGAGAATAATGTGGGAGGAAAGGGGAAAAAAAATCAAAACTGATTTTATAAATATATATATATATATATATAAAATAAGCATGTCATTTCTCTATTGGTTCTTTCTCCTCCATCATTAATTCTTGTTCTTGGGCAAAGTAATATCCCAACCTTTGCAGATGCTCCCCACCCCTTCTCTCTTTTGATTATCTCTCTGCCATCATGACATTTTGACCTCAAAAGTAGTGAATTCTTCCACATTTCTCCTCTGATGTAGATGCTCTTAGATTTATAAGGATGCTCTTCGTCATTATATGCAGATCGTTGGTTATTGCATGCGGTGATAAAGGTGACAAAAGTGTTTGTTTAGAAAAACATGGGCGGGGTGATTGAAATGATAAATTAAAATATACAATAATTTGATATATTAATAAATTTCTTTTTATTTAAAACTGTAACAAATAAACAAAATTAAATTTAAGTTCATTTGTCAACTACTATGTAGTGTATTATTATTTTCATAAATAATAATTTATTATATTAATATATCTATTTATTAGAATATAATATATTAATTAATATATAACATAAAAAAAGGCTGTTTCGTTTGAGCCACAATGCTGAATAGTAGAAATAAGTAGATAGTTTGGGCCACTCAAGCCCATCACTTTAAGTGATCTTTGGGCGCAATCTGTGCATCCGGCATGGTGCATACGGATGCCAAAACGATGTCGTTTTATTAAAAAACGCGCGTCTTTCATTTAAAAAAATTCAGGTTCGATTCTCAGCAACAACATTATATTGTTCATTCATTATGGAATTTTAGTTCATAGATTATGGAATTATAGTTTATTGATTATGGAATTATAGTTCATCGATTATGAAATTGTAATTCATCGATTATGAAATTTTAGTTTATAGATTATGGAATTTTAGTTCATTCATTCTGGAATTTTTAGTTCATAGATTAGATTATGGAATTATAGTTCATCGATTATGAAATTATAGTTCATCGATTATGGAATTATAGTTCATCGATTATGAAATTTTAGTTCATATGTTGTTGCTGGGAATCGAACCTGATTTTTCTTTTTTTAAGGGGAGACGCGCGTTTTATTAAAACGACGTCGTTTTTGCATCCGTATGCACCATGGTGCATACGGATGCACAGCATAATTTGCCCAATATAGCACCAAACGGGCTATTTCGTTTGCAAAAATGGCCCAATGGGCCCATACAGATTTAGATAGAAGCCTTTCATGAACTGAGCTAACTCAGCTGAGAAAATAATCAGTATGTTGTGGACCATAATTCACAATGTAAAGTTGCAAACTACATATATACATATGACAAATTATGTTGTGGACTCATGTCTACGTTGCAAGATGGACCCAGATCCAAAACGCGTGTCTAGAATAACAGTGTCGTTAGTGGGACCGTTTCCTCGGTCAATGTTTTTTTTTTTTTTTTTTTTTTTTTTTTTTTTTTTTTTTTGTGTGAATATAGAGTTCAAAAATTGTGAATATAGATTCAAAAATTGTGTTATACTGTTGAATATAGAGTTCTGTAATTATGAATATAGAGTTCTTTAATTGTAAATATAGAGTTATAAAATGTGAATATAGAATTATAAAATTGTAAATATAGAGTTCTGTAATTGTAAATATAGAGTTCTGTGATTGTGAATATAGAGTTCAAAAATTGTGAATATAGAGTTCTGCAATTGTGAATATTGAGTTCTGTAATTTTGTATATTGAGATCTAAAATTGTGAATATTCAGTTCTAAAATTGTGAATATAGAGTTCAAAAATAATGAATATAGAGGAGCGAATTATGAAGACAAACAGCAAAGAAAGAAGCAATTTTTTAAAAAAATAATTTATACGACGTTGTTTTGAAGTAAAACGATGTCGTTTTGGACTCGAGTCCATCTTACAAGGTGGACCTGGGTCAATTGTATACATATTTATTTTTAGTTTATTACTGATTCATTTTTGTTGTATAACATGTTTCTTTTAAGTGTTATACTTAAAAATAAATTCATAATATTACTAAAAATAAATTACAATATATTGAAAAATAAATATAATCTACATTTTAATATAGACCATGACCTACGATATAATTTGTCCTGACAAAAACCAAAATGATGAAAGGAAGAGAAAATGAACCAAAATCTACGCATTTTCAAAAAAAAAAAAAGAACCAAAATCTACGCCTACAAAGTCAATAAGGAGAATACTACTACTCACAATTTTTACTCCCTCTTAAACAATTTTAATGTTGACATTTTCCTTATAATCCACATGATGAAGATAACTAATTATACATTGACACAGAATAGGAAGAACATGCAGTAGGACTCACAAAATAATGTGCAGAGACGAGACGAAAAGAACAATATATAGGTTGGAAGCGGGGATAATGATGGGCGATGGACGCGTAGAGCATGGAAAAGTGTTGCATGTTTATGGAATACGATCGTAGATACTAGGGATGACAATGAGTCGGAGTGGGTCGAGGAGGTGTAATACTAATCAGAAATAAAATGTTTGTTATTTGTAAGAGAAAATGTAATACTTTTGAGGAAAAATGTAATACTTTTACATTTTGATGTAAAAATATTATATTTTCTATCAGAAGTATTACATTTTTCCTAATAAGTAATGTTGGCAAGTGTTTGTTACTTATAAGAAAAAATATATTACTTTTGAGGAAAAATGTAATACTTTTAAATCAAAATGTAAAAGTATTACATTTTTCTATATAAGTAATACACACTCTATTCCTAATTACTATTACATTTGTGCGTATAAGTATTACATTTTCATATTGATCCCGACTCATCTCACCGCCGGTGAGACGGTCTCACATAAGATTTTGCCATCTTTTATGAGTAGTGACAATCCTTTTTTTTTTTTTTTGAAGGTTTGAGTAGTGACAATCCTAATTACTCAAATTTGTCGAATTGTTAACTTCTTTTTTTTTTTTTTTAATCTTTTGGTGGTATTTTATCAACTAGAATTACAAGACAAAATTTATTCAATATATTTTTTTAATAGTAATTATGATTTTCTCTCCTTATCTAAAAAAAATAGGCACAAGTGTCAAATAGGCTCATCTACTACTGCAAAGTGTTCAATTCCCACCATGAACTAAATTAAGTGTCAAATAAGTCTATCTACCAGCTAAATTCATTCAATTGGCCTTTTTTACAGGTTACCAACAGGTTGCCAATTTAATTATTAAAATAAATAATTAAAATTTTTCAAAAAATAAATAATTAATTAAAAAAATTAAAATTAAAAAAATAAAAGGGAGAGAGAACAGCCACCGGCTGTCCTCGCCGGACAGCCGTGGCTGTTCTCTCTCTTTATTTATTTATTTTTTTTAATTTTAATTTTTTTAATTATTTATTTATTTTTTGAAAATTTTAATTATTTATTTTAATAATTAAATAGGCAACCTGTTGGTAACCTGTAAAAAAGGCCAATTGAATGAATTTAGCTGGTAGATAGACTTATTTGACACTTAATTTAATTCATGGTGGGAATTGAGCACTTCGCATTAGTTGATGGGCCTATTTGACACTTGTGCCAAAAAAATATTCTATGACAACTATTAGGATTTTTTTTATCTCTAATACAATATAATATAATAATACAATATTAAAAATTACAATTAAATGCATTATAAAAGAAATTGGTTAAGATGTTGAACATATTTTCAGTCTTTCAGATGATGCTCCAAGCTGGGCAGTTTGTAATTGGCGAGACTAATGGCATGTTTAGTAGAGAAAAATTATAATTTCGATCCTTTCCTATTTTTGAAAGCTGTTGACTATATTATATTGTAGTTTTCATATGCTCTCAATCTATTGAAGTACAAAGAGTTAATATAGTATTTGTTCAATTATAGTTTCTCAACTTGTTGAAACACAACGAGTCAACATCACCTTCAATAACTCTCGATTTCATGACCTCTCATATGAGAGAGTCACTACATGCCATCTTTTCTATTTAATTTTATTAAAAAGTGAAAAATTAAAGAGTTTAGTTGGGAATTACAATTATTCAAATTTGAAGAATTATTCTTAAGAATTGCAATTTCATAAGAAATTTTGAAGTGTAAAGACGAAATTGTCCTTTAAAGACGAAATTGTCCTTTCTAATAGCTACACGCGTGGACATTTTGGTCTTTGTACTACTTATTTCATTTCAATTCTCATATATACTGAACACTATATATAATTGAAATTTTCAATAATTTTACTCATGTATACCAAACAATAAAATTTTAATTCCTATTTTATTATCACCTTATTCTTTTTCACAAAATTTTAATTTCTTTTTCCTTTAATTCCCTCATTGCAATTAAGCGGTCTATAAAGGTGAAGTGGATTTTCAAAACTTGGTTCAGAAGACATCTTAGCAGCGGTAGCACTGTGCATTTTATTGGACGGTGAAGAACTTAGTTTGAGATTACTATTTACTATTTAGTGGATCTGAAAATGGAGAAATGATTATGTTTTTAATCACATTGGCAAGGATTTGGAGTATAAATTTGGGTGGATCAAGAAATAGGCACTGGAAATAGCTAGAGCCTTCAAGAAGGCCCAAGTTCCGGGAGCTAGGCAAGTTCATACGACAATGAGAAATTTATCTTAGTAAAGGCCTCTGGTTGGTGGGTTAATGTTAATACATATAGATGTTCAGAACATAACACCAATAAAGACAAGTGTGGAGGCTTGATGTGTGACTTTTTGGCCCATTGGCTTTGGGAATTCACATATATAATATGTGTAAATGTAGCGCTATTGAGTGGAGATGTGGCGTATTATTATTATCAAGGACTTTAGTTTCAACTTATGAAGAATACAATTATAGGTAAATTTATCGTGAGACAAATTTTGCTTTGAAAGTTATATTTGTTAACCAGAGAAACGATAATAATGGCCTAGTCTAAAATATTCTTAAAATTTACAAATGCACAATTGACCGAGAATGAGAGGTCCGCGTGGTTCGCATTCATAGAGAGCAGAATTGAACAACTAAACTTTTAATTGAGAAATCTCTTTTGCATGATCAAAGATAAGGTGTGTTTCATCGAATCTCCTGCCTCAATTAAGGATACCCTAAGGAAGGAAGAAATGCTTAAGATTTGGCCTTGTATTAGTATTAATTAAATAGAGTTTTTCTCTTTTTTATTTGTATTTTTATCTTTTATCCCCTCATTTGTTTTCTAAAAATTAAAGAAATTGAACCTACGAGGTTTATGGTGTCAAAAATTTTGTAAACATTACAAAATTTTCGATACTTGCAATATATTTAGATTTTTATTTTTGACATTTATAGAAGGTGACAAGATACAGCATGGGAAATGGAAATCCACAAAAACCCTAATCGTTGTGCTACGTACTGTCAAATGCTGCCTAAAAACAAAGATTCCTTTTATCTAATTCCTTTGTCATAGCTCACAATACCATTATTGCTCTCTCCTGCCCAAGAAAATGGAATTTCCCCTGTCACAACCCTATGACGACGAAAAATCAAAAAGTGTAAGTTAAAAGATACGATATTTATTAATTAGCTTTTGTATGAAAGAATTTTAAATTATTGTATCCTGCGATAATAATAATTATATTTATAATTTAAAATTTTAATAATTTCTAGCTTGAAATATTTATATTTTCTTTCATATAAAGAAAGAAAACAAAACAAACACATAAATATATCTAAACTATTATGGGGGCATCAAAAAGCATAAATGAATATAGTTGTTCTAAAATATAAAAGAGCATAATATGATTAAATACTAGTAATTTTTAAATTAATATTTAACAAAAAATGTTACAATATTGTGTGTATAAATTTCACATATTACAGATTTACTTTGATACTCGGTATTTATTATTTTTAGTATTTAGTAAAAGAAATTTTAACATGTAATTTTTTTTTTTAAAGTTTATTTAGTGCAAAAGATAAAGTAGATTCGTTTCCTGGTACTGTGCAAGTACGAACTACGAAGTCAGGTTTAGACTATTTGTTTGAATCGGTCGAAACCTACGCTTAGCTTAGCTTTTTCTAATTTCCTATTTAATAATAATTAAATTTGCCGCGGAGCCGCTGTTCGACGGCTTGAATTAAGGCTACGACCATTTGTTTGCCGTTCCACTCACGCTCCGACAGTTGGACTTGTTTCCTTAGCTGCCACCACAAAATTTATTTAATTGCCATCAACTGAATAATGCATAATTTTTATATCAAAAGAAAATGAATTTGATTTTCATTTTAGGATTTTCTTTAGTATGAATTACCTCTCATGTCTGATATGTAACTCACCAATTTGAATCCGTCAAATATGATCTTTTTAGTATGAATTGCATTTCTTGTGTAATTTACAGACTATTACATAAGAATAAGATTTATTCAATATACACCCTCAAATAGTTGCTATAATTTTTTTTCGTTATCAAAAAAAAATCCGTAGTAATAATTTCTATCCGAAATATTACAAATCTTATTTGTGGTAAAATCAGCCAATGATATACCTTCAACCAAAGTTATCAAACCAAAAGATTCAATGCAACTATAATGCCATGCATAAAAATTGAGTAATTAATGCTTTTAACCTATTTCTGGTATATTTAGTTTTAACTCAATTGTAAAAAGTTTTTAAGTTGTTTTCTTAGCCTTTTGAAGTTAGAGTTTTAATTACAATTTTTAAAATGTTGAATTACTTATTTGTATCTTATTTATTAAAATTTTATAATTTTAATTATTTAAAAAAAAAAAAAAACTATAAATGATAATGTATAAGCCTAAAATAAAATATTAAAATTTATTTTTTATAAATTAAATAAATTAGTCTAAGTCGGCATGACTCATATTCCAATATAAATTAGGCTTAGTTTGTATAAATCATATTTTTAGTATAGTAGATTAAACAGACACAACCCATTATAATATTCAGCTCATGTAAACCTGAATCAGGTGGATCATTTTAGACATCACTAAATCAAATCTGCGCTAAAGGATTTTTTTTCTTTAAAAAAAAAAAACAAATTATAACGGTTAATTGGTGCCAAATAAAGTTTGAAAATGGGTTAGCCGGGTTGGGGCGTACTTATACCAGAACCAGGTTCGGAGTGTATTGTGGACTTATACTTACATATATATTTTATATTGTGAGTTTGTGTGTCTTGTGTTATTAAATTTTGTACTTTATAAGTATAAATTTTGTACCTGAAATAAATTAGTAATTTTGTCTTATGTTATGATTTTTTGTGTTTTTTGTTATGAAAAATAAGTTATTATATAACATGCATATATGTCTTGTGTTGTGGTTTTTTTATGTCTTGTTATAAAAACCCTCTAACTTACAAGTATGAGTTTTGCATCTCGTCCTTTCATTTTGATTCAGGGTTCAAAATGTTATGTGATATAAATTGGCGTGAACATACGTGTCAATAGCGAGCGTGAGGCGGAGCAAAAACGGCCGTGTACAAAGCCGGCAGGCCCAGCAATCGAAGTATAGTGAAACGCCCGCGTGCCACGTTATCCTCCAACAATAATTACATCCTCTCTCCCGCTCTCTCATGAATTGGGCGGCGCCTCCTCGCTCCAGTCAATCTTCTCGTTGACCACGTCCTGGCCCCACCCCCTTTCTCCCCTCACTTCCCCCATTATATAACCCCCACCACTTTCTTCTTCTTCTTCATCCACCATCACCACATTTTATCTGTATCACTATCAGTGATTGCGTTAATGGCTGTGAAAGGTGTCGGAGTTAAGGATGGAAGCAGCAGCAGGCACGTGACCGGTGTTAAGGAGGTGCACTTTAGGGGAGTGAGGAAGCGGCCGTGGGGTCGTTACGCCGCCGAAATCCGCGACCCGGGGAAGAAGAGCCGGGTGTGGTTGGGCACATTTGACACTGCGGAGGAGGCGGCGAGGGCTTATGATGCCGCGGCCAGGCAGTTCCGGGGGCCTAAAGCCAAGACTAACTTCCCCTTGCCGTCGGAGAATCACAGCCCCAGTCACAGCAGCACCGTGGAGAGCTCCGGAAGTGAGGCCGGAGCTCACGCGCCCCAAGCTCCCCGCGAGCTTGATCTCACGCGCCGCCTCGGTGTCGGTGGGAAGGTCGAGGTTGGATCTGTCAATAACGGGCTTCCGTTTGCCCATAAGCAGCCGGCGGTGGCGATTCTGCCAAACGGCCAACCGGTCTTGCTGTTTGACACCGTGTGGCGGCCTGGCATGGTGAACCAGCAACAGGCGTACCGGTTTGAACCGGTGGCGGTTCTGCCCAAATGCGCCGCAGGCGGCGGCGGCGGCGCCCACAGCGACTCCGACTCATCCTCCGTGGTGGACGAGAGCCATTTCGACGGCGGGCTTGCCAAGAAAGGCCTGAATCTCGATCTTAACCTGGCTCCACCCATGGAATCTTAACGAAGAAAAATTGATTTTTGTGAAACTAATTACTTATTTTCCTGTATATAAATCTAGATTCGGATGACTGTTCTTTTTCATGGCTCAGTTATGAGAAATGTCGCAGCTTTCTCTCGCTGTTTCGCGTTGTAACTCTTAGGATTTTCTTGATTCAATGAAACTGAAAATCTTTTCTCCATCCTCGCAATAATCTCGTATTCCGACACTCCCACGTCTAACGGTTTTTTCTTAGATTAGATTCCGAATACTTTAATCAGCTGTTCGCTATTTTGTTTAAGATTTCGAATTGGCTGTCTTCTTGGCCTTCTAGATGCCGACTATAATTTCCATAATTATTTAATTAATATATAAAAATATTATGATATAAACCCACTCCCACTATGAAATAATGCATAAAATCTGGACTAAGAAATTGGGGAGATATATATTTTTTGCCTAACTGAACACGGAAGTCAACAAACTAATTTAATAACTAAAAAAAAAAAGATAAACCGCTGGGTGACAGCACACAAAAGTAATGCCACCGACGGCGAGTCGGGCAGCTCACGCCACAGCAGACACGGAAATGGGACCCGCAAGCTAGGATTCCGTGTCGACGCGATACATGTCGTGTCTAATGTGGACGGCACGTGTATGTACACCGCCTGCCGCCGCTGCATTATCTTCCTAATTGCCACATTTTCGTCGTTCTGTTATTAAAAAAATTCTTTCCAAAATTGACATAATTTTTATCCACAACACTTGTATTGTTAATTTACGAAAATTGCCCGCATTAGTTTATCATGAAAATATGGACATGATAAATTTTTATCCCAACATCATAAATAACCGATATGTATCGATGGAACATGTTGAGTTGAGTTGGACCAAATTGATATACAAATATAATATTTGTACTAAAAATTTAATACTAAATTAGAAATAAAATCTATTACTTATAAGGGAAAACATAATAAAAAAATATATATTTTTTTTGGAATGATGTTCTCAACCTAATAAAGCTCTCAGAGTCAACAACGCGTCCACTGAGCCTCGATCTCATGACCTCCTACATAAAGGAGAGGTCACTACATGTCATCTGAGCATAAAGTGCTTGACTTATCAAAAAGTATTATACTTTCCTTAATGTTGCACTTATAAAGGCAAATGTAATACTTTTGATGAATAATGTAATACTATTACATAAAAAAATGCAAAAATATTACAGTTTTTCATATAAGTAATAAACATTTTATTCATAATTTAGTACTGTATTACATTAACTAATATTAATATAAGTATTACATTTCTTCTTAATCTGAGCCGTCTCACACAAGTTTTTGCCTTCAACTGAGAGACTGTTTGAGCGCCTCGCAATTTACCCCTGATGGGATATAAAACCAAAGAGCCGGAAGAGTAACGATGCCAGGAAAAATAATGAGGGAAACGGGACGAGACGTTGGGCCAGTAGGAGGAATGGGGGAACTAATCGATCCGAGAAGGTAGAAAAACGGCTAAGGGCTAGGTGAGACCAATCGAGAAGTCAGATCAGTCAAGGAGTCGGATCAGGAAAAGAGTCAGCCAGACCTCGTTTATCACCATGTCGAAAGCTTAGAGAAGCCGAGCGAATTGAGGAACCACGCAGCAGATACCGAGCGAATGAAGAAGCCAGACGAATGAAACCGAACGAGTTAAGGACCCATGCAGAAGGCACCGAGCGAATGGAGGAGTCACACAGAGTTACCGAATGAATGAAGGAACCGGACAGATGAAACCGGGTAAGTGAGGTAGCCAACCAGTGCCGGGCCGAGTAGATGAAGGAGTCGGAATATGAAGACTGAGAGAGGGAGGGTGTCGGTTGAGCGTGCATGAGAGCATAATGGTTCCGGCGACTCGGTAAGATGGATAATTAATGAGCAGTTAAAGAGAAGTTAATGGCAATGACAATTCAAATGATGAACCAACCATGATTACTCGCATTTATTATCTTTAATTTGTTCATTTAGTACATTAATGACTCGTTGGGTGCAACGGTCACCCTGCCTTGTATAAAAGGTATGCGAAGGCACTGTAGAAGGGATTAAGTATTTTGAATATACACGAGAGATTTTGAGGGTATACTGTTATTTTCTAACAAACCATTACTTTTTTCAGTTGTGTTGGATCACTGTCTTCACTGGTAGACTGCTTGGAAGTTTAGAAACTAACACTGGTGCCGTCTGTGGGGATCTGACAAGAAGTCACGTGACCTCTAAGCAAAGATTCGGTGGAGAAGGAAGCTAAGACGACCGGAGGACGATCGTAAAGCCGCGTCAGCGGAGGTAACAACCCGCAAACCGACGGTCACGACTTGCGTGATTGGTTAAGTCGCCCTAACTCCCAAGTGCATAGGGAAAATCTACCTTGCCCATAGGAGAATACGCTGAGTCATTGGACGGCTGAGACACAACTGCCGCCACCGACTCAAGTTGCTCCAACCCTTGTGGAGGTGCTCGCCCAACCAGTGGAAGCCTATACACGAGGGCAGATGGAACGAATGGCTCCCTTGACGCCGGCACCTGAGAGAACGGCGCACGTTAGACCCTCTCGACAAGAGGGTCGCAGGAGGGAAAATCGGCGACCGTGTCCTACACGTTCAAGATTGGGGCCGGAGGCTTCTCATCGTTCGACCTTTGACAGGCTAGGCGAGGGAGGAGCTAACCAAGCGCCTAGTCGGCAAGAGGATAGGGTTGAGGATGAGTCGCGGTCCGCTCACGAGCCTAGAAATAGGCGTGAGCGCAGAAGGGAGGCGGAATGTGTGATTGAGAGTAGCGCAGAGGAAAGCCGGCTTACATGTCACCGACAACGTGTCGGATAGCTCATGTCACAACAGACACGTTGGGTCCCGCAAGTTAGGATTCCGTGTCGACGCGATACACGTGGTGTCTAATGTGGACGCCACGTGTATGTACACTGCCTGCCGCCGCTGCATTATATCTTCCTAATTGCCACATTTTCGTCCTTTTGTTATTAAAAATATTAACATATTTTTTATCCACAACACTTGTATTGTTAATTTAGAAAATAGCCAGCATTAGTTGTTCTCAATTGGGACAACCATGTAAGTTTTAACTTTATCATTAAAATTTTGAAAAAAATGTCAAATAGACCACTAAGTTCTTATTTTGTGGAATTAGATCACTGAATTTATAAAATATGCAACTGAATCATCAAACAATCAAAATATGTGTAATTGGTACAATTTTATTTTTTTTTAAAAAAAAATTTGATAAAATCCGATTATATTACTTACATGTATGTATTAAGAGTAGCATTTTCCTCTACCATACTAGTTGGGAGTCAATATTGAATTGTTTTTACCTCATATTGAATTAAAAGAAATTAGAAAATGTTGTAATTCCACAAATTTTATTTTTTTATGGTTGAATTGCACATTTTTTTAATTCAATTATCCGATCACATCAAATCGATAAGTTCAGTGACTTATTTAACACTTTTTTCTTAAAATTTTTATCCCAACATCATAAATAACCGATATGTATTTAGAAATTATTAGTCAACTAAGAGAGTGTTTGAATGCCTCACAATTTACCCCTTTCAATAATTATTGAGTTAATACCCAAAATCGTCATCGACTATAGTGGTTTTTCTCAATTTCGTCCTAAACGACTTTGGTGACCTAATATCGTCCCAGACTTTTGTGTTTCGCTCAACTTAGTCCTCCATTTGTTATTTCGTCAAATTGGTGTTAAATAAAGGGACAATTCAGTAATGTCAATATTGATCTCTCTTTACTTTCAACTTGTGAAGCGCGAAATTCCTCTTTCTTGTACGAATTACACCCAGAATTACTCCCGTACCTGCAAATCAAATTTTATATTCGCAGTTTTAGGAGTAATTCGTAAAAAAAAAAAGAATTTCGCAGTTCACATGTCTATGAGTAAAGAGATGCCAATATTAAAATTACTGAATTGTGTATTTATTTAACACCAAATGGACAGAATAACAAATGAGGGACTAAATTGAGCAAAAACACAAAAGTCTGGGATTAAATTGAGCGAGTCACAAAAGTCTGGGACGATATTAGGTCACCAAAGTTGTTTAGGACGAAATTGAGAAAAACCAGTATAGTCGAGGACGATTTTGGGTATTAACTCAATAATTATTAGCAAAGATTATAAAAATTTAGTATTAATCTTGCCTAAGTTAGAAAATTAATATATATAAAAAAACGGTCGAATTTAAGAATTTTGGTTTTTGGTAAGAGGCGATTTCCGAGTTGTTACTGATAATTTCGAGGCAATAAGGCGGAAATTGGGTGGATGGTAGGGCCCACAGTTTGGACTTGTGCGCGTCGTAACGTCGCGGGCGCCGCTTCTGGTGGGGCTCACTTTTTTTTTTTTTTTTTTTTTTTTTTTAACGGGTGGGCGGAAATGCGGAATATGTGGAGTAGATTAGGATGTCGTACGATGTACTCCAAAGCATCCCCGTTTTTGCACTTTGGGCTTTAAGGCTACTTGATGCCGGGCAACCCATTCTGAGGCGCGTTTGGGTGGGGCGGTGTGGGGCCCCCCTTTGAGACGTGTCGGGAAGAGACGAGGGAAACGCCGCCTTGATTTCTGGCTGCGGGACCCCCGTAAGTTTGATGGTTTTGACGGAATTAAATATTGGGTATGCACGTGGGGCCTACCCACCGTTGTTGGGGGACAATCGCGCCTTTGTTCCGTTTATCGCCACGTCTCACGTGAGACGCCATAAAAAGACTGTCTATAAAACAGTTGCTCCGGGCGGTTACCGCCGTCCACTCTTTTCCTTTCGCTTTTAGTTCTCACACTTCCATTCTACGTTTTAAATTTTTATAACTTCAAAGCAGTTTCTAAGTTAAGATGCACGCAATTTTTTATGCCTCACATCTAAAAATTGTTTTTTTTCTCACTTTCCTATGTTTTCTCCTCCTAGTTTCCTATATGATTTACTTCATATTGATTCGTATTAATGTGTTTACTTTCAAAAAAAAAATAAATTTAAAAAAAATCAAAAAATATTTTGAAATGTTTTCTAATTCTAAAAGCTTTAAAAATTCTTAACATTAATTAGTAAATAATTAATATTTATACATTTTTTAAAAATATTTTCAAAATTCAAACACACGTGTACGTTCCCTAGCATTTTTAATCCTGTGTTGTGGTTTTTCATTT